CTTCAGACTTGGGATCTGAGCAACACGTCAGGAGGCGCCGCCAGGCTGGTTAATGAGGGGCTGGGCCCCTTGCCTGTAATTTGTCAGCATTCGTCAAATGTGCGCCTGCTCTCCACCCCCCTCCCCGGCTGGCTCAGTCCTTTCAAGTGGGTATGAGCTCTCCAGGCGGCGAGTCTCTGACTGCTGGGATATTTTTATGTGGTCTCCCTGGTGTGTTGACCCCAAGCCCCATGCTCACCTGCCGCGCTGCCTGCCATGTAATTAGCAATGGGAATAGGCTCCCAGGGCAGACAGCTCATGCTGCAGGAGGTCCAGGGGGAAAAAAGGCAGCTTTTGAAACCTGAGTGCGGAGGCCTCGGCCCTGCAGGGGAACCGTGAGGTGTCTGGCCCACCCTCTCCTCCGGCGCTCAGGAAGAGATCCAGCGGGGCCACCCTCCTTCACATCTGCCTCTTGCCCAAGTCACCTCGCTCAGCCCCACACAGCATCCATGCTGATGGGGATCCTGTCCCAGGTGGGCCATTCCACAAGACTCAGCCCCAGGGCCCCTTTCAGGAGGGAAGTCGCAGATGCAAGTGTCCTGGGAGTTTTCAGTGCCCCAGGGAGGTAGGAAGCTGCAGGGTGAGAGTGGCCAGGAGGCCTCAGGACTCCCTGCGGTGGGCTCCTATCCCCACCCTCCTAGAGCCTAAAAGCTGGCAGTGAGAAGTCAGCACCGAGGGAGAGCCAGACCCTCATGCCTGACCCTGGCTGGGGCTGCCCTGGGCTGCAGCCAACCCGCTGCTGCCCACACGGCTCCCTGCTCCCAGCCTGCAGTGTTGCTCGGGCTGTGGCTCTGAGCCTCAGTGCCTCACGGCCATGATGATGCCTCATAGGTTTGTCTGAGGATGAAATTAGAGAAGACAAGGGTTATAAAAGTGTTCTGTGAGCTAAGGGGAGTTACACAGCTGTTGCCAATAACAAGATGTTATAAACCCTCAGCCCTGGGCAGGGGAGGGGTGACAGTAAGGCCCCCTCCCCCACCTCAGCTTAAAAATGAGTCTGTAGCCTGGGGCATAGGAAGGGCAGCTCAAACCGGGGTCCCTACCCCAACCTGTGGAGAGGGGGAAGATTCTACAGGATGATGGTGACGTGCCCATGAGCCGGAAGCTGTGGGAAGGCCAGGCACCCTCATGGGAAAGAACGTGACCCTGGCTTCACTCTTGTTTTGGAACCTGCCCCTCCACAGCCTCGGCCAGTGGCCAAAGGCTCCTGTGGGCCCAGCCCTGGCCAAGTGTCACCATGTCGAGGGCCTGCCTGCGTGGCCTGCCTCCCTGCCCGCAGGCCAGCTGGGCCCGGACCTGTCTCAGGAGCACTTCCTCTGCTAGTAATCCCTGGGCCCGCCCTCGGCTGCCAGCTGCCCCTGCCCAGCCCTGCAGCGACCTGCCCTTAGATCATGCAGCCCAGGGTACTGGTTGTACCTGGTGGGATCATACTGTGCCCATGGGGATGTAGGGCATCAGTCTGCAGGTAACACGAGAGCCCCAGCTTTGATTCCCAGCTCTGCCACCTGCACCCCAGCTCTGCCACCTGCACCCCAGCTCTGCCACCTGCATCCCAGCTCTGCCACCTGCACCCCAGCTCCAGCACCTGCACCCCAGCTCTGCCATCTGCACAGGAGCCTTGGGCAGAACACTGAGACTTTCTGAGCCTCAGTTCTTCTTGTCTGAAAAGTGGGATTATTGCTACTTTTTTGGCAAGACTGCTATGAAGAGTGAAGGCAGCCATGTGGGAGCAGGGCGCTCGGCAATGAACTCCCTGCCCACCCTGCCCTTGCCTGGGACGGCCACCGCTCCTTCTAGGAGACCGCAGCTCTGACCTGAGCCGTGCGCGACTGGGCCCCCCTTATGCACCCTCCCTTCTAGCCAGCCCCCACCCATCTCCCTGCTGGGCTCTGAGTTCACACCAGTGTTCTTGAAACAGGCTATACTCCTTGGGTCAACCCTATGCTGGCTTCCAGGAGCGAGACTCCAGCCATCCCCCAAGCACCCCAGCCTGCCACCTCAGCCTCATCCCTGAGGACCCTGAGGGGAGTTTCTCATGTTACAAATAGGAAACAGGTCTTGAGAAGAGACTGTGGTCTTCTCACGCCTCTGGGCCTCAGGGCCAGGCCATGTGACCAAACCACCTTTAGGCCCCAGTGGGAGCCAGGCTGGACCTCGCCTGGTAGCCTAGGGAGGACCAGGGCTGAGAGATGCCTGGGTGCTCTGAAAAGCTAGTTGACTTTGTGCAGCCAAACTGGAAAAACCAGCAGCCACTTGGGCAAAGGCCGGACCCACTTCTTAGGAACAAAGAAACCCCAGCCGGGGTGCCCATGGGAAGGCATTTGGGAAGGATAGGAGAGCTCAGCCTGCGCTCAGGTTCCCACTCTGGCGCTTGGGGTGCCCGCATGCGCCCTGCCTTCTCTGACCCAGGCCGAGGGACTCAGTGTGGGGCCTGCTTCCCACACGGGGCCTTGCCTGCTGGACATATGGCAATGTTTGGAACCCTCCCCGGTACTGGCATGTGCTGGGTGGAGGCCAGGGGTGACAGTGGCAGGACAGGCCCAAGTCCAGCATGACGGCAAGGCTGCAGCTGAGTAAGCGCCCAGGTGCCCAGCACGTGTGACCTTTGCCCCTGCGCTTCACACACCCGGGCCGGCCTCGCCGTCACCAGTCACGCCCGGTTAAGACACATCTCGGGGTCTCCCTACTCTGTGGACTCGGGGCCCGCAGGCCCCTGCAGGGGCTAGGAGGGGGAGGGGAGGCGGCCGCCACAGTACAGCTGAAGGCCTCATGTACCCACGGGTAGGCCTCATGTGCCCACCCGACCATCTAGTTCTGCTGCTAGTCCTGGCTCTCAGAGATGCTTCTATTTCAGATATTCTTCTGGTCCTCTGTGTCTGTCCTCTCTGGCTCTGAATAGCGTGGAAGGTGACCACTGAGTCCTGGCATCCCCTGGCTCATAGGCCTTTGATTTTGTGGCTTCATTCGGCCCTGAGACTTAAGATTGGGTAGTCCCATTTCACAGATGAGGAAACTGAAGCATGGAAAAGCCAGTCGGTATCTGTTTGGTGCCGGGGCTAAAAGTCTGCTTGACTGGAGCCCAGGGATGCCCTGGAACCACCCTGCTCGGGGGACTTCCGGCTCCTCTGCCTCCTACCAGCCTGGGTTGGCTTTGCAGAGCGCAGCTCCTCTCTGTATGGACACGGGAGGCCCAGTGGGGATGCAGCCAGGGAGCCGCGGGTTTGGCCCAGTCCTAGAGCCACCCACCCTGCGTGGGGCAGAAGAGCCCGCAGAGCGCTGCACAGCCGTGGGCTTCCATCTCTGCCCCTCTCACGAGGGTCCAAGGACTTGCCTGGGGTTTCCTCCACCTGACTGCTGCAATCTCTGCCGGGGGTGTCCCAGGGCTCAGAGACAATGCGGCTTTGTGGGCTCTTCCACCTCTGCTCACCCGAGCCCTGACTCCAGAGACATTACCTCATCTGGGCCAGGCCCCATGGGGTGGGGCCCACCCAGGAACAAACAGGCAGGGAGCCGCCGTGAGGCTGGCAGGGGGGCGGCACAAACCCCCACCCGCTGCATAGTCCCAGGGCTAGATGGGCCGCAGAGCGCCCAGGGCGCAGGTGGGGAAACTGAGCCAGCCGGACCCAGGGACTTGCTGGGCGTCCCCGGCCCAAGCCGCCTGGCACACAGGTGAACCACTGTGAGGTGCAGGTGGCGGCTCCTGAGTCCTTCATCCGGACAAGGTTTGGGGTGGGTGGGGGCAGACCCTGGTTCAGGGGATGGAGGCTGCCAGCCATTCTTCTGGGCCGAAGAAGGGCGCCAGCGTTCGGAGCACAGCACCAGCAGCCCGCAGAAGCCACAGATGGGCTGTGGTTGGGCACAGGTGACAGGGAAGGCCTCGCACCGCCTCCAGGATCTTTGTTCTGATTCTGGCCCCCCAGCACTCCCGGTGTTGGGCACAGTCACGGGCAGTAATTGTCCTGGGCTGAGGCCAGCTTCCTGTTGAGTTGGCTGTGTGCAGACAGGCAGCCTGCGGGTGTTGGGAACTGGCCTGGGAGCAGAGGCTTATCTGCCCTCTGGGCTGGGTCTATTAACAAGGTGATTGTTCACGCCATGGCAGGGTGGGCACCCACGGAGACCTACTCCTAACCTCTACGGATAGTGCCCCGGGGCCTCCCCCTGCAGAGGGCTCCTGACTGGACACAGAAGGGCAGGGCAGGAGCACGTGTGGCTGTGGGCTGCAGCGGCAGGTGGGCCCCCGCTCTCAGACCTTCCCCCTCCCCATGCCCTGCCCGGCCCAGGTCCACCTTGCCCCCAGCACCTTCCTGTCCTCTGCATCCTTTCACACATCCTCCCCACTGGCTGCCGGCCTGTTCCCACCCTTCCTGTTCTCGGTCCTTCCGTGGCTCCTACTGCCCCCAGGCCAAAGTCAGGCCTCGAACAGGTGCAGGGTCTTCCATCAGCATCAGCTGAGCCCACTCCGCAGGCTCTTCCTGCACCCTCTTCCCCCAGAGTCCCCAAATGTCTTAGGCTGCTGCTCTCCTGGCCAGACCTATATATTCCCAAGCCTGGAATGCCACGGTCCCTGGTCCCTTCCCACCATGGCCCACTCGTTGGTCTTGCACACATCAGCCCTTTCCTGGGAGGCTCCCCACCTCCCTAGCTGGGGTTATTTCTCATCTCCCACCCCCTCGCCTACAGAGTGGGCTCCTTGTCACAGTCATCTCTATGTTTGCAGCTGGGGCCTCAGCATGCAGGGTTGACAGAGGTGGGCTGTTAATAGGCAGGGGCCTGGGAGTGGGCCAGAGCCAAGCTTGGGGAGTCAGAGCAAGCTAGTGGCGAAGGTGGGCCAGCGGGCCTCAGAAGAGAGTGGGCCTCCTGTCACCAGGGCGAGTGAGCAGACTGTGGGGCCGCCGCTGGGCGGCTCCAGCAGGAGTCAGATTCACGGGACTCGTGTGAACAGTGCGATCCCCAGCCTGACCTGAGTCTGAATCTCAGGGGCCCAGGAACCTGTATTGCTTACATACCACACTGATGTTGTTCACCACAGAGTCTCAAGTCTCCCTCCTGCCCTGCAGTTCCACTTTGGGGTGCCCTCAGCGAGCCCCTCAACTCTTGGTTCTCAGCCAGGCTCACTCTGCTCTTCCTGGGGTCTGCCAGGCCCCACCGCTGTCCCTCAGAGCAAAAAACCTCCTCGTTGAAAGGGGAGGGACGCCGGCACCGGTGGTCACTGCTTTATGTGCAATTCTGTCTGCTGTCCCCCAACACAGAATCTCAGGGTGCGGAGCAGCGGGGGAACAGAGTTCTTCACGCGGTCAGCCACCAAGTTCAAGGGAGCCCTGGCACAGAAGTTCATGTTCGTGGACGGAGACCGTGCCATCTGTGGCTCCTACAGGTGACGCTCAGCTCTTCTGGGGTGTCAGGGACAGAGAGCTCCAGTTCCCAGGTGGTTTCTGCCCTTAATCCTGCCTTATAACACCCTGGTTATTCCGGGCCCTGTCCCAAGATTGCTGAGGTGTGAGAGCTCGGGGCACACTGTGCTCTGGAAATGGAGAGACCGTAGTTTGAGCCGAGAGCTGTCACCATCCTGGAGGCAGGGTGTGAGGCCCTTCGGGTCATCACTCAGAGCCGCCCTGGGGAGGCAGTGTAGCAAAGACCCCAGTGGCACACCAGAGTCCATGGCTGCTCTGGGCATCCTGTGGGTGGCCTTAAGGGGTGAAACACCATGAGAAGCGGGCATGGTGCCATTTTGCACGGGTGACTTGCTTGAGGCTCCAGACTCAGGTCTGACCCCGTGGCAGACTCCCTCTGGCCCCACTGGTTTTCAGTCCCTTTGGGGCCCTGTAGCATAGCCCGGGTGCCCTGGGCTCATTCGGAGGCCTACAGTCGGGGGACTGGGGAGATGCCCTAGGGAGGGCCCCTGCATCCCCACATGCCTGACCTGACGGCCTCTCTCCCTGTGCTGTAGCTTCACGTGGTCAGCCGCAAGGACAGACCGGAACTTGATCTCCGTGCTATCTGGCCAGGTGGTGGAGATGTTTGATCGGCAGTTCCAGGAGCTGTACCTCATGTCACACAGTGTCAGCCTCAAGAGTGTCCCCATGGAGAAGGAGCCGGAGCCAGAGCCCATTGTGCTGCCCTCTGTGGTCCCACTAGTGCCCACGGGCACTGTAGCCAAGAAGCTCGTTAACCCCAAGTACGCGCTGGTCAAGGCCAAGAGTGCTGATGAGATTGCCAAGACATCCTCTGAGAAGCAGGAGGCCAAGAAGGCCCCGGGGCTGCGGGGCCCGGCGCTGCCTGAGCGGCCGGGGGACCTCCTCGAGTCTCCCCCGCTCATCCACCCGGGGCTGCTCAACCTGGAGCGGGCCAACATGTTCGACTACCTGCCCACGTGGGTGGAGCCGGACCCCGAGCCTGGCAGTGACATTCTAGGCTACATCAACATCGTCGATCCTAACGTCTGGAACCCGCAGCCCAACCAGATGAACCGAATCAAGATCCGGGACACGTCCCAGGCTGGCGCCCAGCTGTGGAGGCAGAACCAGGACTCCAGCCCCACCTCAGGGTCCAGCACACCCCTGAATGGGGTCCCCACTGAGAACGGCCTTCCCCAGAGTGACCCTGAGCCACAGCCCCCTGTCCCCAAGCCCAGGACAGTCCCCGTGGCAGACCTGCTTGCTCAGGATGACAGGGGTGTTGGCTGGTCCCTAGAGAGCCCAGAAGAGGAGGCACCCCAGAATGGGACAGACCATGGGCTGCACAGGACGGAGGACTCAGAACATGCCCCCCTCCAGCGGCAGCTGTCTGTGACCCAGGATGACTCCAATGGCGGGGAGGCAGTGATCCCCAATGGGCTAGATGGGGAAGAGGAGGAAGATGATGATGACTATGTGACCCTCAGTGACCAGGACAGCGTCTCAGGCAGCTCCAGCGTTGGCCGTGGTGCCCGGCGGCCCTCGCTGGCCTCCTCTTCCGTGTCAGATGAGTATTTTGAGGTGAGGGAGCGCTCAGCACCTCTCCGGAGGCGACACTCGGAACTGGTGGCCAATGGGCCAGCCCAGTCCCCCCGCCGACAGTTGAGTACCCACCACGTGACCCGAGGGACCTTTGGTGGACGCCTGGGTACCTGCCCATGGTCTCGAGAAAGAGAGGAGACAAGCACTTCAAGGAGGATGCACGATAAAGAGGCACAGGTGAGTCAGAGGCGCACCAGGGGAGCTAGGACCCTTCCCCCATTACTCCCGGGCACCCAGAGTGGCCATCTGCTGAGTAATGAGGCCTCAAGAAGGAGGCATTCCTTGTTACAGGTGGGGAATGGGACGGGGTGGGGAGACAGCAGGGACCACTTAGGACCACATTGACAGCCATTAGCAACAGTGGGGCCCTTTGTCCCAGAGTCCCCCAAAAGGCAGTCCAAGCCCATCACTGGGAGCTGAAGCAAAAGGCATGTAACGCAGCCGAGGTTTCAGACACCTGGTGTCATGGGATGCTGACATCACGCTACCCAGCGAGTGTTCGCCCCAAGTCGCCAACAGTGAAACGGTGCAGCACAGAGATGTTCCTCACACCCTCCAGGTAACACAGCAATGAGTGTCCTGGTCCTGACCTTATGACAAGCCACCTTCCACTGTGGCCTCCTCCCCTCCCCGAGGCTGGGAATGTGTCCTTTGCCTTTTCCGAGAAACTCTGAAAACCAGGGACCCAGAGGCTGTCACCGTGCACCCCGGCTCCTCTGGAGCACGTCCTACCTGGGAACAGCACACGGCTGATCATGCCCGGCATGATCATCAGGACCATGGGCAGCATCTTGAGGTAGCTGGCCAGGATGGAGCCCCCCTTGGCATGGTTCAGGTCCCGGGCAGATAGTGACCGCTGAACGATGACCTGGGGGCAGGAGCAGGGAGTGAGTTCCAGCCACACAGGGACATCTGTGGCAGGACTTCTTCCTGGCCAGCCTTGGGGAGTGCTCCCCTGAGCCTGAGACAGTGTGGCCCAAGCACAGCGCCCCACGGCATGCCCAGCAGAAGCAGGGCTCACCCTTACTGGCTGAGCAACTAGGGCCAAGGTGCTCTCCTTCCGAGGCCTTGGCCTCCATCCGTCCAGTAGGGTGGGACGCTGCCCGGCCCTCCCGGCAAGTGTCAGGGCTGGAGGACCACCCCCGCCCCCCCTCCGTCCCCCCCTCCCCCGCCCGATTGCCTGGGCCCTCTCAGGAGTGGCTGGCATGCTTGGGCAGGTGGGGCACCAACTGTTTCGAGTCCCTGGCAGAGGCTGGGAGCTAGAAGTTCTGGGCTTTTAGGAAACTAGCAGCTCAGTAGTGGAGGGATGGGAGGCTCTGCCTGCCGCAGCTCCTCACACGGCCTTAGGCAAATGGCGGGGTGGGGGTGCGGGTCACTGCATGAATGGCATCTGAGGTCACAGCCCCGGCATGATGAATAAGCTTTTTCAAAAACTGCTTTATCAAGATAAAAGTCCCATTCGGTTCACCCACTTAAACACAATGCAGTGGGTTTTGCTCTGCTCGGAGTTGTGCACCTTAGTAGTTTGAAACATAAGTGTAATAACATAAGTAGCTGTCTCACAGTTTTAATCAATGCCTCCAGTTCAGAGGTAGAAATGAGCTGTGTGTAAAATCTGTAATTTTAACATTTTTTCCAAACATGCTAGTTTGACCGGTAGCTCCCAGCATGTTCCATTAAGATGTGACCCCCAGCAGCACCGCAGAGCCCTGGGCAGCACTGGGAGGGCCGGCGAGCTGACCGCAGTCCTGCTTCTCCGCCGGCTTTCCGGGCAGGAGACAGTGCTGGCCTCAGTTTCTCCAGACTCCCTGTAGAACATTCCCCTGTGATGTCCTCTGAGAGCAAAGCCCAGGGCCTCGCTCCCCCTGGGACGAAAGTACTGTTTCTCTAACACGTCGTGTTCTGCTAGTTCATCCTGTGGGGACAGGTACTGTTGCCCCATTGCACAGGTGAAGAAGAAGCTGAGCCTCGGGGTCCCGGCAGAGCAAGTATCAGGCAGCGCAGCTCAGGCCACCCCTGCGATGTTGGGGATACTGCCCCTCAGTACCTCTCAACACCAGCCCAGTCTTACCTCCCAGGCCCACTGAGCACCTGTCTGCCAATGGGGTATCAGCCCCCCCACAGAGTTGTTGCATAGCAGGGGACTCTGGGCTCAGGCCCAGCCGCACCCTGGCAGACCCAGTACGAGCAGGATGAGGCTAAGCCGTGAGCCCCACAAGCCGATAGCACTGTGCACCTCGGGGTCAATGGTGTCCCCCACCTCCCCGTGTGACCCGCTTGTCCATGCAGTGAGTCGCTGACCAGAGGCCAGGTGTGTGCTGACTCACTTAGCCTTCATGGGAAGATCTCCTAAATGACGTCCTGCCCAGAACCACCGGGGCCATGCCAAGCCCTACTGAACCCCCCGAGCAGTGCCGGGGTCGGGGGGGATGTTTGGGGCACAGTCTCGTGCTCAGCCCTTCCAGGGGAGCAGGGCAGGCACCTGCTGTGGGGCCGCTGGTTCCAGACCTGGAAGCTCTCCTGAGGGACACAGCCAGTGTGGGGGCTCGGGGGTACCATGTTACAGATGGGGGAGACCCCCCCCAGAGTTTCTGACACCCCCCAGCTGAATTGCTCCCACTGTCCTCGCCCACAAAGGATCTTTGCACAGACACACTGAGCAGCTCCTGCTGGGGGGAGGGGGGCTGGGGCCCCTAAGCAGGCCCTCCCTGGACAGCAGCCGTGCTTTGTGCTTGCTAGGGCAGCCACTGTGCTTTCGGGAAAGTGCCTGAGCATCTACCACAGGTAACATTTCACCAGCTCGCAGAAGGAATACCTTTACCCATGGGGATGACAACTCTTCTTTTATTATTTATCTTATTATCTATTACTGTGTATAAAACCCCAGCCACCCAGGTTGTCTCAATGTCTTGCTGACAGGAGACCTAGCCAGTGACGGGATGTGTCACCTAGAGCCTCTGTCTGTTCACCGTCAGCCCCCTTATCCCTGTAACTGATCCTGTCCCCAAAGCCACCGTTTGTAAAGCAGCTGAGGAACGTGCCCTGTAGTTGACACAGGCTGCGTTTGGAATAATACCTCAGGAGAAACAGCAGCTTGCGTAGAAGAGTTAGCCAAAATACCCTGGCTACAGGAAGTAAGGAAACCTGGTTCTCTGCAGGATTTGTTTAATTCATTGCCAGGAAACAATGATTCGTGGTTTAGAAAAGCCCTCCAGGTAGGAGTCCTGCTGTTGCTACTCATTTTCCTGCTGTTGCTACTCATTCTGGTTAACTCTGCCCCTCCACTCTGGTGCAGATCCAGCTATGCCCTTTGGCCCTCACTGTTGCGGCCTGTGAAAGGGGCTGGCCTGGTTGCCTCTTCCATCCCACAGGCCTGGCTGGGGTGGCTCTCGGGGTGGCCTAGCTGCCTGCCCCGGCAGCTGCCCGTGGGGTCCGGAGGTGCAGACGTCCATCAGGCTTTACCTAGTGAGGTTGCTGCTTCCAAGGGCTCTTCCCGCCTGAGTGCTGCCTGGTGCTGCCACATCTCCAGGGGAAGGCAGGCCAGGAGACTCGGCATGCTTTCCCCAGAGAGGGCCCTGGCCGTCTGAGGTCACCTGGAGGGTTCACAGCTCACAAGGACTAGAGTCACATGGCAAGAAGTCCTGCCCCCAGCTCCCAGCAGAACTCCTGGTGAGGTGCTGGGTCTCACAACCTGGGCCAGCCCCTTTTACTGAAGGAGGAGGCTGGGGCAGGCCTGTAAGGGGCAGAAGGAACTTGCCATACCACGGCCACAACAGGTGGAATTATCCCCATATGACCACGGGGAACCTGAGGCTCAAATCTGTAAAACAAAGCATGCCTAGGCTCACCAGCTGGTAAAGGATAGGGCCAGGAGATAAACCGGGTATGCTGGCTGCTGCCTCCCTGGCAAGGGTCCTGAGGGAAGGAAAGGAATTAGCCACAGCTGCCCCTGTCCCCGGGGTCTCACTCTCTCTGCTCTCTCTCTCCCTCAGGGCCAGCCGTTCCACCATTATGGACTCTCTGCCTCTGGGACCAGGGATAAAGATGGCTTCCCACGACATTTGAGAACCCCAGGGCCTCCAAGGTACCGCCCTGCTACTAACAGTGCCCAGACCTCTACCAGGAAAGTGGGCCCAGCTATGGCAAGCTCCCACCACTGGCAGCCCAAGGGCAGCCCCATGCCCCGCACGCTGCCTGATTCTGGGAGCCCGAGGCTGACCCGAAACACGAACCCCCTTGCCGACAGCCGGGGCACCGAGGGGCATCCGAGTCCTTTTGGAATCCCATACTCCAAACTCTCCCAGTCAAAACACCTGAAGGCCAGGACGGGCAGCGGCCACTGGGCCTCATCTGATTCTAAACGGAGGGTCCAGCCCCCCCGGGACCACAAGGAGCCCTAGCACTTGCCCCTGCGCCGGGAGCCAGCCACCCTCAGCCCCCGCCTCAGCCCAGACACCATGCAGGCGCTCTCAGAGCCAGCCAGGAGCTGACGCGGGCTGCCCGTTCCCTCCAGCTCTGCCCTGGAAGACGCCAGGGGGCCTGGGCGGGTGACGCTGACACTCACCTGGTCCGTGCACCAGTACCAGGTGGCCAAGATGGTCAGGCCGAAGGTCATCCCGGTCCACGGGAGGTCCCCCGTGTGGGGGTCTCGGAACATGTGCATGGCGTCTGCACGCGGCAGGTGGCAGGTCGTGTTGGGGACGGTCTTGGACGGGACAGCCAGGGCGTAGGCTTCCGCCAGCTGCCCGTACCCGCCGATCCGGTTGAAAGCTGGAGGGCAGGCGGGACGGGGACAGGTTGGTGGCTGGTGGTCCTGACTCCTGTGCTCCCTCTGCCTCATCTCACAAGTAACTTTCTAAAACAGCCAACTTGACCTTTGCCCACTTCACCTTTCCCAGTGTCTGGAGAGGCGGAAGGGTGGAGTTTAAAAGAATAAGTGAATGCAGGTGATTATTTTATTTGTATTTAAGATAATGCTATTAAATGAGCGTTTTGCACATGGCACCCTGGCGTCCTACTGGCTTGGTGGGAATCACCGGGGCCTCCGGATGCCCGTCGGCCTGGGGGGAAGGGCACTCTGCCAGGCTGCAGACTGTCAGCTCCAACAAACAAAATTTTTTTCTTGGCATGTGTGGAACTTCCCAAGGAATCTAGAAGTCCTGGCCCAGCGTGGCCCATGTGATTCTGGTACAACTGAGCATGGGGCCAGGGCTGATGTGGCCTTGAGAAGGGAAACAGGTCTGAGGGTGGACAGAGGAGCCACTAGTGCCCAAGAAACCAGTGGGGGCTGGCACACAGGGCCTTCTCGCTCCAGCCAACCCATGTTTACCCCTCACAGTTCCCGGCCAGAGGGCACAGCCATGCACCTCTGAGTCCTGGCCCATGAGTGGCATTTGCTATCTGCTCTTCTGTCCAGGCTGGGCTGTCTGTCTGGACCCCTTTGCTTTTATGGGACCTGGGAACACTGGCCCCTGCTCTGAGAGGAGGTAGCCACAAAGAATGCTGGACACAGGAAAAGCCCTGTCTTACGCCCAGCCCACTCACTCCTCCCCCTTCTCCAAGCACTGCGCAGACACTGTCCTCAATATCATCCCCCCGTAGCCCTGGCCAAGCCAATGTTCAAACATGCACAGAGGTCAGCGATCACCTGACCAGGGGGTTCCAGAGTGCTGGTCCAGAGTCCTAGTCTGGAAGAGACTTGAAAGACCTTTCCTCGCCCGCCGGATCCTGGGCTCTGCTTGCACACTTCCAGAGGCACGGGGCCCGCCACCTCTGGCAGGCCTGTGCCCTACCTGTCACTGTTCCCAAGCCAGCAGGGCAAATCTAACCGCCTTCTCTCCTCCCCCACCTTTGTCTACCAGGCAGCACTTCTCGGGAACTTGTACATGATTTAAAACAATTGAAGCAAACGCCCAGGGCACTTTTGTGGTCTCCTAATTGTGTGTCTGCACACCGCCCTCCGTCCCACCTCACCTCAAGCCCTGAGCTAGGGCGGGTGCAGCCAGCCCCAGGTTTCTGAGTCAGCTCTAACCTAGATCCCAGCAGCCAGGCGCTGTTGACATCAGGCGGCCGGACCTCAGGGCGAGGGAAGCAGGCAGCCTCTGCGGCAAAGCGCTGAGCTCCCCCTGGCTGGGCCTTGGGAGCCCACCCCCTCCCAGCACCAACACCCAGGCCCCGAGTGGGCGGCACACAGACTCCAAAGGGCTTCCCGCAGCCCCTCACCTTTGACAGTCAGGACGACAGCCCCCGCCACCATGATGAGTGTTTGCAGGGCATCCGTGTAGATGACAGCAGCCAGGCCCCCTGTGGTGGGAACAAAGGCAATAGAGGGGCCCCGTCCTCCAAGGGGGGACAGCTGTCGCACCTCTGTGCCTGCTGCCCTTCCCCAGGCGGCAAGCGATGAGACACAGCAGCTGAGCAGGCCCCGGCCGCCATCCCCAGCTGCACACCCCTAACATTGACACGAAGTGGACCACTCCCCAGGCGCGGGGAGGGGGTCCTCTGCCACAGCGCCCCCTTCCAGTTCTGTGTGTCCACCGACCAGGTGGGCTGATGTGCCAGGCCCCCCCTTGGGTCCCCAACCAACCCCGCCCCGGTGCACGCACCTGCGATGGTGTAGAGGGCTGTGATGATGAGCATGAGGATGGTGGACAGGTAGAAGTTCCAGCCCAGGCAGATGTGCACAAAGAGGGCCCCCGCATACAGGTCGATCTGGGGTGGGAGACGGTGGAAAGCCACGTGCCTTAGATGGTTCACTACACTTCCCAAGCCTCCCTGGTCCTAATCTGTAAAATGGGGGCCTTATCTGGGGAGCCCCGGGCCCGAGGCTGGCAGGAGGGCTCGGGCCTCTCCATCCTAGTTGGGCTCTGTAGTCCCTGCTGGAAGGGGAGCCTGCGGGGGAGAGGAGCGGAAGGTGGCTGACTCTCCTCTGCCTCCCCCCACTGCACACGGGGAACGGCTGTAGAGTCTAACTCCAGAGGGCACCGGACGGGTCAAACTAGAGGATTTGCCCATGATGGTGTAACCCTGGGGAAAAAATCAGGACAGTACCAGGGAACTAAATTTCAAAGGAAGGGCTGCTCTCGAGGTCACAGAGCGGTCAGGCCGCCATTCTGCTGGGCTGGAGCCTCTGGCCCTTGTTCGCTCAAAAAAAATGGGGCTCGCGGCTGCTCGGGCTACTGTCCAGGGTCCCCTCCTGCTTAGGGAACCTGGCCCTGGTCTCGCGCTCCACCTGGCCACCCACTGTGCCTTCTTCCCAGCGTGAGGCCGAGGCGGTGCCTGGCCTTGTAACTGCAATGGCTTCTCCCCTCATCTCATACACAGAAGCCCCCACTGCCCACACACACAGGCCCCCCAGGAGTCCACACCGGGGTGCTGGTGAGCCTATGTGTGTCCCTACTCCGAGCACTTCCTTCCAGAGTCCCACCTAACGCTGGCGTCCTGTTAGGTGGGTGTGATGAGCCACTCTGTTAAGGGAAAGGATGTCCTAAAGGAACTCTGCAGAGTCTTGTGGACTCCACCCCCTACTCCAGCTTTCTGGACACTATCCCCTATGCCAGTGATTGGAAACTACAACTCCCAGCAGTACCAGGGAGAGAACTGCGAGGACCCAAGGGTGGAGCTAAGCCGGCATTCTGGGACTTTGGGGGGGATACATAGGGAGCCATTTTCCAAGGTGCTCTCTCCCTCGGGCAACGGCTCTGGAGACCGTGTGACCAGGGACTTCAATTAGTTTGTTTTAGAGCTCCAAGTCAGCCAAGCAGATAAGATATTCTAGTTACCTTGTATCTCTCTTTCCCTGGGTTGTTCCTTTTCCTTCCCCCATTATTGACCCTTTTGTGTGTGTCTGCAGTACAACTAAATTTTAAGCACGTGGGTGAGGACACACAGACGGCAGCCCAGTTCATACTGGGGTGCTCTGTAACAAGTCCACAGAGTGGAACGACTTGCCCAAAACCCTGTAGTCATAGAGACAGGCCCCTGCTATGGCCTTTCCACTTGCTTGATCTTGGGGACCAGAGTCCCTCCCGAGGGACCTGGGAGAACAGGCCACACTCCTGACAGCTTCCTATTGGCTTGCAGAGGCACTGAGCCCAGCAACGGGAGTTTGCTGGTGGCAATAGGGCATGGCCTGTCCTGCTGAGGCAACTTGCAGATTTGGAGCCCCCAAACAGCTTCTCAGTACCCCGAGTTCCCCACCTGCACAAAGGAGCCTCATTCCATGTCCTAGTGACAGAAACCATCCACTTTGGATTATATCTAAGGCAGGGGATTCCCCTTAACCCTCACCTGGGCCCTCACCTGGCCCAGCTCCCCCCAAGCTGGCCATCTCCCTACGTAGAACCCTGTCCTTCCTCGGTGGGGCAGCCAAGAAGCTGAGAGTGATCCTTACACTGATAGTCCCCCTGTCAGTCCCAAGTTCCCTGCCCCCAAAGCTCATGCATCTCCACAGAGTGCCACCATCCTAGAAGACAGGAGAGCAGGTAGTGGGTTTGTGCCTGCCAGGCAGAGGTAGGCCTCATGGAGAGGTGAGATTTGAAAGACCTGAGTGAGCAGAGGGAGTGAGTCACCTGGATGACCAGAGAAATCAGGTTCCAAGCAAGTGTAAAGGCCCTAAGGTAGGCTCTCGCTTGGTGTGCTCACAAAAGTGCAGCAGGTTCAGGGGGAGAGGCAAAATCAGTGAGGCAGCAGTAGCCACATCGTGACAGAAACCAGGGAGCGAGCTGGTGGGTCACAGTGGCCTTTACTCTAACAGGCTGTGGGTTCACAACAGTGTCAGCTGAGAGTGATGGAGCTGGACCTTGGTCCCTCCAGCAATGCTGTCTAAAGGTCAGGATGGTGACCTCTGAACCCTGCCATATCTTCTCTGTCATATCTTCTCTGCAGACTGGGCACTGTGGTCTGTCTCCAGAGAGGCCGCAGCAGGGATAGGTTCCAGACTTTCAGACATTGGGGCTTTTCCTGGGAATCAGCCCCATGAGGTCAGGGCCTCTGGGGGTTGGCCAGACATATGCACTTCAAACAACTCTAGCCCAAAGCCTCTGCCAGGGAGGCCCCAAGCTCTCCCAAACCCAGCCCAGCAATTAGCGTTCCCTGAGCTTCCCTCTCTGCTTCATCCACTCCAGCCCCAGCGTTGGCACTAAAGCCCCAGCCCTGACGTCAGTAGATTGTTCCCCATTTTATAGGTAGGTAAACTGAGTCACCCCCATCACAAAGTGGAATTTGAAGTACCACATCCTAGCTGCTTCAGCACAGCAAGGTGGCGGCTGAGCCCAGGGCTGGTTGGCAGAGGCCTGGCTTCTAGATGTGGTCTCAGCTTGATTCACCATGACCTTGAGCCAGGGATGGCCACTCTCTAGGTCTCCACTGTCTCATCTGTAATTTGGAGTGGTGGGGCAAGACCGTGAGCATCTTCTACTTAAATCTCCACCCTTCTGCAAGTGCCACCCAGGCTAACCACTTTATGTTGCCGAGTGTGAGCTATAAACTCTAGTGCAGGGACAGCAACAGGGTGAAACTGGGTCATCGAAGAACCCCCATGCCTATACTTGGCCTGACAGACCCCGCCAGAGCTTCTCCTCCTCTTACCTCTCTTCCTCCCAGTCTCTGGAAGGGGCCACGCCCTAACATAGGAATGATGTCACTCCCCTCCTGAGAGCTCCCAGTGACCCCCAGGTACTTTGACCCCCTAGGAGCAGAAGCCCTCAGCTTCATTTCTGACTGCAGCCAGCTAGGCCAGGGCTGAGAAACGGGCATCCTGAAAGCCAAGTGTGGCACTCACTTCTGTTTATATGAACACCTGCCCCCACCACTCCCTGTCACCTCACTCCCAGCATCTCCACGTGCTTTTTCCTGCCTGGTTCCTGGGAACATCTGCCTTAGAGACCTCTAGACTCTAAGGCGCCCCACCCTATGTATGGGCATGAATATCTTAAAGAAATTTTGGTCAGGGATGGACCCCGAGGCCATGCCACGCAGCCTGGGCTGGTGGAGGACTGGACCACGTAGGCTTGTGTGATTTCACCACGATGAAATTGCCTAACAATTGCATTTCTCATAACATATTCCGTCAATAAACAACGCATGATTGTACACACTGCTTCCCAGAGTTCCAGCCCCTTAGGGTCAGGGGCCAGGTCTAAGTATTTCTGTCCTCCGAGCTTCCAGGGAGGTGGCTGGCACAGGGGGAACTCAGGAAATGTGGGGGAGGGAAGAAGAGCATGAGTGGAAAATTCTGAAGTCAGCTGAAGGGCAACATAGAGCCGAGTTCACAATCAGGTCTTGATCCAGTCTTACAGGGAAGCCCTGAGGAACAAAACCTCTTGTGATACTCTGAGAGCATCTAGGCGAGAGGACAGTGTGATGCTTATTTGCTAACTACCTCTGGAAACCTGCCCAAAAGAACAACACAATACCCTGGAGTCCCCCTCGACTCCCCCTTGTTCACACAGAGCAGGTAGAGGCTGAGCCAAGGTTCCTGGGGCCTGCTGAGGAGCGCCAACTGCCACCCCCACAGCCAGGTGGGAAGAGAGGCGGGCCAGCCAGCTGCAGTTCAGAACCCCAGTCAGGGCCTGGCAAGGCCCCAGCCCTGCCCTGTGCCGCTGAGGGCCTTCATTCGCTCAGGCCCTCATTCCAGGGAGTCCTCCTAGGGCTCCTGGCTGACCAGCAAGGCCTCAGCCTCTCGCCTTCTTTCCTCTACCAAAGTGATAGTGTGCCTTGATGTCCCTGCTCTCAGGGCAGAGCTGGAGCGGGCCCAGGAGCGACTGCATCTCTGAAGAAAAGCTGGGCCTCCCTGACCCCTGCCTACTACGTACATGCCAAGTCTCACCTCTCCCCATGGCGGCCATGAGGGGCCACGCACAGGCCTCCTGACGAGTGCTATAGAGATGCTCGGGGTCGGTCACTCAGCCAGAAGCAGGCAGACCCGGGGCTCAGGCCCAGGCCTCCGCCTCCCAAACCCTTCATAAGCTGGAGTTGAGAAAGACCGGCAGTCAAGGCAGAGCTTCACTGAGTTGGGAGTGGAAGCAGAAGGCCTGCATGCCATGAAGTCACAGGAGGCTTGGGCCCAGTTATTTCCTCTCTCTGGACCTCAGTTTCCTTACCTGTAAAGTGAAACCTAGGACAACACAAGCTCTAAGTGGCTTCTGACTGACACTTGAGGTGTGGTTCTATTCTTCACGTTTCCAGCGTGACTAGAGGTAGCTGGCCCCCTGTGGTCTGGGGCCAGGACTCAAGCAGCCTCTGTGATGTTGGGATGCTGTAGGCTTTTGGCGCCCCCTAGTGGCAAGTCATAGAAACCCACACCAAAGAAGACACCCAGGCCAGCTGCAGAATTTCATGCTGAGCCGCACCCAGTGAAGCCCCCAAGCCACGCATCCAGCCTACACTCTGGGTACCCTGGGCCAGGTGTCACGGACTCACTATGGCCCTGGGAAAATCACTCTGCTCCGAGCATCCATTACCCAACTGTTAGACAAGGCAGAGACAGATGAGAGGAATTCAGTTCTGTTTGAGTGGCCCCAAGAGCAGGACTGTGTCTAGGTCCTGCTGGCTAGAAACCGGGAGTGGAGGGTATGCTCACCGATATCTTGGTGAAGACAGACAGCAGCAGGGACAGGACAGACAGGTATGTGCGAATCCTCTGGCCTCCGAAGCGCTTCTGAATGTACTCAGGCATAGTGACAATCTGGGGAAGCACAGGGCAGAGTGTGAGGGCTCCCCCAAACTGTGCCAGTGCTGGGGCTGGACATCTCAAGGGCAAGGCCCAGACCCACCTACTGCTCACAGCCCCAGCACTGAGCCGTGGGCTCCTGGCTAAGTTCTGACCATACCTATGGGTCTCGGGCAAGGTGGTGGAAGGCAGGGTGGTGGAAGGCTAGGGTTGGCTCCTCTTGGTTGATAAGAAGAATGATTGGAGATACCACAGCTGGGGATAGAGGGACAAGTTGGGGGGCTGTAATGACATCTGGATGCGCTATGATGATGCTGAATGAGAAGCAGAGCAAGGACAAGCTGAGGGAGATCCAGGAAATGGATCTGCTGGACTTAGTGGCTGCCCAGACGGAGCCAAGAATGGGCAGAGCCAAGTGCCACCCAGGGTGTGCCACCCACAGGTGCATCCTGTGTGCTTGAGTACATGGAGCAGTACCCCCAAGAGCCGGCACAGTGGGCCAGGGGAAACCACTATACAAGGCATCACGCTGAAGCCGAGGGGCCCTCCCTTTGTGAGTGGACAGGAATGTTAGGGACGAATCTCAAGCCCAGATGAGGCTTCCCCAACTTGTGCGTGAAGCCAGGGCACCCTGCCCACCCATCACCACCACTAACTCAGACCGAGGCCCAGACCCAGATGAGGGCCGTCCTGAGCCGCAGCATCAGACTCACCTCTGAAGAGATGTAGATGGGTACAAATACCCACGCCAGTGCCAGGAGAACATATGTGGCCTGGAGGGGATGAGGCAGGCTGAGGACAACAGGCACAGCTCCCACAGCCCTGCAGCTGGCGCTGACCGGGATCAGGTCCGGAGGCCTGACTCGCCAGGGCAGCCCCGTCCCCTCCCTGGGCCTCGAACACTCCCTTGCCACTGGCCTATTCAGCATTTTGGACTTCTGGAGGCCAGGCTTTCCCAGGAATACCACCCCAGCCTGTCTGGACATTGCCTGGTCTGAGTTGCTGGGAGCAACCCCCAAACCCCTAGCCGTGAAGGGGTGGATCCAGATAGAACCCCCTTTCAGGGCCTCTAAAGCCATCTGCACCTTCCCAGAGTCCAGCCCAGTTCTGGAAGCTCACATTCCACTCAAAGCCTGCCACTGCCAGGCCTCCTGCTGCGCCCGAGCCCGCCAGTCCAATGAAAAGGCCCGAGCCCTCACTGCTGGCGAAGAGAGAGGCTCCAATCTGGAGGAGAAAGAAGGAAAGGAATCAGCTGCACACCCAGAGCATGGGCCCCACCCTGGCCCAGCAACACCCTCTTCTACACAGACCTGAGTGCAGGTCTGGATGAGGGACTCAGACTCACAGACAAGAGTTGATGAGCCTATTGCCAGTCACACAACTAGCCAGGAGCAGACATTCAGTCTCCAAACCCCAGCACCCTATCTCTACACCCCTGATTTGGGGGCCCCTGCCAGCCTTAGCCTGCCCCAGCACCACCTGCAATGACCTGGTCAGAGGACACGGAAGTGACCTCAGGGGTGAAGATGCTGGCTGACCTGGAGGTCAGGTGAGGCCCTTTGGGAAGAAGGGGTGAGAGGAGTCAAGGTACACTCACTGGCCACCACGCCATGTCTCGGCCCGCCAGGAAGTAGCCGCTCACTGTGTTCCTGCTGGCCCGACATGAGGACTGTAAGAAAACAGGCAGAAATGGGAGCCGTTGAGCACTGTAGGGAGGAACAAGCAGTGGTGTTCCTGCTGTGGAAACAGCCTGACGCACCCTTGAAAGTTAGACATACGGGCCCTCCCTGGTGGCACAGCGGATTAAAGCACCGTACTAAGAAGCTAAAGCCACTTCCGCATGGGTTCGAATGCTGCCCCAGAGTTTGAATGGCGCGGCAGGCCTCTCCTGACCCACCCGCTGCTCCCCTCAGCGGTGTACTTTGTCGATCTGCCTGTTCTGCTCCCCACTCTGTCTCTGGTGAATCCTCTCACTGCCCCTGCACCTCTGGCCTGTACCCCAGTTCTGTATGCACAAATAAATACATCTTTTAAAAAAAAAGTTAGACATACGATAGTCTGTGACCCAGGAGTTCCACTCTCAGGTGTGTGCCCAAAGGAACTGAGACAGGTACTCGCATTAGTATGTGTACCCACACTTTCAAGGCAGCATGAAGTAAACGGGCCCAGTGGTGGACACACTCCAATATCCATCAGCTGATGAAAAGACAGGCAGAATGTGGTGTGTTCAAACACCCAACCATGAATAGGGGTGACGTTCTGATTCATGCCACCACATGGAAGACCCTGGAAACACTGACTGGTAACAGAGGCCGGCGCAGCAGGCTACTGCTGTAGGAGAAGTCCAGAACAGGTGAAGCCACAGAGACAGAAAACACATTAGTGGTTACCAGGCACCGAGAAGAGGGAGAAAGGGAGTGACTGCTAATAGGTATGGGGGTTCTTTTGGGGGTGACATCAAAATAGTCAATTTTATGTTATCTGACTATTATCTCAATTAAAAACAAAACCAAAATCCAACAGTCAGTCAACATCTCCAGAGGCAGCCACCCAGCCCCTGGACCCTGTGGTCAGCTCCTTGCTGCTTTATCCATTTCCAGCTTTTTTTCTGGACTCCTACCCAAGGCCCCTGTGTGGCTGCCCCCGGGGGAGCCCTGACCTAGGGCAAAGACAAACGCAGACCCCAGCGGGACCCAGACACCATGAACTGTCAATTGTCTATGCTTCTAATGCCTGAGTCACCAGCCCAGGACAGTGCTGTGGCCCTGAAGGGCGGCTCTAAGTGGGACCTCCAAGCGCTCACTCAGTGAACAGTTGCACCACGGTTTCCATTTTTGCTTCTTGATGATGACCTTGAACCAAGGAATCTGAGAGCCCCTTAGCCTTGATTTCTTACTTCAAAAAGTTATCACTTGACCTCAAAGATGAACACCTGGAACTTATATAATGTTATATATAATGCCATGTTACTGCAATAAAATAACTAGATGCAGAGAAAGCATTTGACAAGATTTAGCATCAATTCATGATTTCAAAACTCAATAAAATGGGAATGAAAGAACACATTTCAATATGATAAAAGACATATGTTACAAACAGCTGATATACTTCCTTTAAAATCAGGAAGAAAACACTGTTATTACGTCTCTTTAACTTACTATTAGTTGCCTTAGTCAGACAATTAGACAATAATAAGAAATAAAAGATATCCAGAAGGGGAAAGAAGTGAAACTATCATTATTTGCAGATGATATAGTATAGTTAATAGATACATATATCTATCTACCTACCTATATGTACGTAGGTAGGTAGGTAGATAGAAACATCACTAAAAAAAACCATTAGAAACAATGAGTAAATGCCAAAAAAACAGCAAGTTACAAAATCAATATACAAAAATGTATTACATTCTTAGATGCAAATTAGTGAGAAGAAAAAGAAGTTAAAAAACAGTTCATAATTGCATCAAAATGGAGTCAAATGCCTAGGGATAAATTTAACAATGGAAGTGAAAGACCTATATGGTGAAAACTATAGGACATCTTTAAGATATAGAGGAAGACACAGAGAGATGGAAAGATGTCCCATCATGGATGGGAGAATTAATATAGTCAAATGACCATCGTACCAAAAGCAATATTCAGATTGAATACAATCTGAATATTGCGATGATTTTCAATGATTTCCAATGATTTTTTAAGGGCATAGAACCCAAAATAGTAAAAATTATGTAGAACCACAAAGACCCTGAGTAGTTAAAGCAATCTTGAGAAAAATGCAATCAACGTGTCTCCCAACTCTCACTCTATTACAAAGTGACAGTAATTCAAACAGTATAGCACTCGAATAAAAACAGACACGTGGATCAATGAAATAAAATGGAGACCCCAGAAGTAAATCAATGTATACAGCAACACTTTAATATATGACAAAGAAGGCATTGCCTTTGGAGAAAGGAAAATCTCTCTGACAAACTGCTGGGAAAACCTGACAGCCACATGCAGAAGAATGATGTTGGACTCTCTTTAACTCCATACACAAAAATTCATTCAAAAATGAATTAAAGTCCTACATATGAGACTCAAAACCATAAATACATAGAAGAAAACAGGTGATATGTTTGATGATATCACTCTACAAGAGGTTTTTGTGGACTCAACCACACTGCAAGGGAAACGAAAGCTTCAAACTCAAAAGCTTCTTCACAGCAAGAGAAAATAAAAAAAAAAAAAACCTGCTAAGAGGGAGCAGATATTTGCAGACCATAGATCTGGTAAGGGGTTGATATCAATATCACAGCGCATAAAGAATCCATGTAACTCAACAACAAAAACACAAAAACCCCAATTTAAAAATGGACAGACACTTCTCTGAAGGGGACATACCGATGGCCAACAGGCATGTGAGAAAATGCCCTCCCTTACATCAGGGAAATGCAATTCAAAACCACAGTGAGATATCATCTCATGCCTGTAAGAAGAGCTTACATCAAAAGACTAGGGACAAACATTGACAGAGGGTGTGGAGAAGAAAGAACCCCCTCAACTGTTGGCTGGAATGTAAACAGAGGCAACCAGTTTAGAAAACAGGATGAATCTTCCTCAAAACACTAAAAATGAGAGCTGCCATGTGATCCAGCAGTCCCACTTCTGGGGCTCTCTTCTGGGATCATATTGACAGGAATAATGTGGATACCACCATAAGGTGAAATCCACCTAAGTGCCATCGGTAGCTGATGGGATAAAGGTTTGATATATCAAAAACTGGTGGACATTCAGAAAAATGGAAGGAACGCAAGAAGATGGTGGGACGCACGATAACTCAGAAGGCGAAAAACAAATGCCAGATGGCTTCAGCTGCATGTGCAGTATAAGGAAACAGCAGACGAGAGGACAGAGACGAGAGGACAGAGCAAAGTGAAAATACACCAGTGGCCACTGACACTGGCACTGAGGATACCAGAAGGAAGAAATTTTGCGGAGGGAGTGAACAGGCAGTGGTGGGTGCTTTCTTAATCCATACATCTACAAATAATAAATAAATCTAAGTAGGGATTTGAACACAGCCTCAACCACTAGGCCAGGTGTTGTGCCCCACGAGGGAAGCTGGGCTCAGAGGAAAGCCACATGGGGACCAGTGCGAAGGGAAACGCAGGGTGAAACACAGCTGCAGCCTTGCTGCAGGTGCTTGAACCCCTGGGATACAGGCACTGCACCCAAAGCCTGCCCTAGGCTGTACTTTCCAATGTGGGTGCCATTGCATGCCCTGCACTGTTTGGGCTCATTCGAAGCAGGTGCCTGTCACTGGTTAACCGATACTGCGAGGGACACAGCAGACTCAGTTCAAGGTCCTGCCTCCAGGACCAGCTCCTGAAGGCCCCTCCCTGGGCTCTCCAGCCCCACCCAGAGGCCCCCTGCCCGCCCTTCTGCCCAGCTTGCCAGCCTGCGTCAGCCAGGGCTGTCTACATGTGCTCCCTGGGGCACCAGGCTCCAGCACCCTCCTCACTGCCCCTGCTCTGTTCAGCACATGCTCACAGCCCTCTGGCCGGTAGCACCCGGGGGACCCGCTCAAAAGGCCAGGTCAGAACTGGCACAGGACCACTGCCGGTGGCACCAGCCTGTGCTGGCAAGGGTGTGGCCTGGGCAGTGAGACTGATAGACCCGAGTCACCCGGCAGAAAGGGCCTGGCTCAGATGCCCAGAACACCTTAGATGTGCCTGACCAACTAAATCCCCACCCATGTTGACGAAGAAAGCCTCTCTTCCCTCTACGGATCTTGCTGACCGCCAGCTCCCTTCACTGACTGTCCTGCAAATTGCCTGCCAATTTGTGGGCTGAAGAAAACGGACAGACAGCTAAATAACGTGTTGCTTGTACAGAAACAGAGCCAGCCCTAGAACCCGGCTTTCGGGATGGCCCGCACCGCTTCCTGGGGATGTACTTAGTCACGTAGGGCTCCATTCTGGTTACGGCTCTTGCTGCTACCACTACCCCCACGGCCACAGCCACCCACAGTCACCACTGCACCGCCCTCATTGCCACTGTCACCACCATCGCCACTCGGACACCAGCGCCGCCAGGTCTGCCGAGAGCACCAAGCACCACTCCAGCTGGGGAGCCCTCAGCAACGGGGTCCCACACGTGAGTGTGCCATACAGATCCAGACCCTGAGACCCAGGTGCGGAGTATTTCCTAGGAGGCCAGAGCTCGTAAGGTGACCTGTCTCAGCCCCCAGGCTGAGGGGAGATAACGAGAAGCATGCATTCTCCAGGCAATGAAAACCAGGGTGTCAGCCAGGGAGCATTGCCCTGGGTGGTCACAGGGGTGGGAGCGGAAGCTGGTCTGCAGAAACACAGTGCTGCCTTATGTCTACCTCCCTCCAGGAAGGCCTGCAGCGCCAGGGCATGAGCAGGGAGGAGGCACCCTCAGCGCCAGGTTTCACCTGCAAAGGGGCTGGTGTGTGCCTGGGCAGTGGGAGGACTGGTGACCTGCAAGGTGGACAGAGCAGGGGTCTGATGGCCGAGATCACTTCCTCCTCACAGGTGAGAGAAACTGGCTTGGGTTGGTGGACACAGATCCCAGGGAGCTTGTTAAAGACCCCTGGCTCCCCCGTGCCCTCCCTCCCTCTGACCCAGCAGCTGTAAGGTGCAGGGCGACCCCTGAGCCCTTGTCATTTGGGAGGGTCATTCCCCACGAACCCATCTCACAGAAGGAAGACGAATGCACTGTCCAGTTCCCAGAACCCAGTGACAGTCTGGCTAGGCCTGCCCTGCAGACCAAATGTCCTCTCCTCACTTTCTTGTTGAGACATCATTGCTCAAAGAGAAAAGATCTCTGACAAATCCACCCAAGCTGGGAGGAGGACCCCAGAGACACTGGACCTCCAGGGGAGCCATGGCCACTGCCATGAGGACCTGCCTGCCCACAGAGCCCACAGCTTGCTGGTCACCGTGGAGTCCTCTTACCCAAATGCCCACGGCCACATTCAGGGCAAAATACAGAGTGATGACGACGATGTCGGCCACATTCAGCTGCGGTCCAGGCGCGTGAGGGTCGCTGGTGCCGTTGTCCATTGCCCTCCTGCAGCAGGTGCCGCGCCCAGGGACTGTGGGCCAAGCCTGGCCAGGACAGGCTTCCTGGAAGGCATTAAATTGATCATTAAACCGAGGGGACGGTGGCAACTGCCGCTCACAGCATGGACTGCAGGGAAGCCGCTTCAAAGTGCAGCTCTGTCCCCCCAACCTCACACGGTAGTGGGGGAGCATGGGGGTCTCCTTAAACTCAGAAGAGGTGTGGGGAGAATAAAGGGCATTTGGTGGATCCTAAGGCAATCAGAACAGTCCCAGAAAGAAAAGGCTAAGTTATCTAATGATTAGTTCAACACATACTGAAATCATATGAGAAGCAGCTGCGGCCTCGCGTGGCCATGGGACCGTGAGTGGACACAGAGGGACTTGGGATGGTGGCCCCAAAGCTTCCCTGGGTTGGACAATAAGGCCTGTCACCAACACGTGTGGTCTCTTTTTCTGGGCTAGGGACACAGGTCAGGCCCCTCAGTGTGGCCATTTGCTCAGGTCCTGGCCTCCCCAGGAGCACGCAGGAGCACTTATCGCCAAGCTCCACTGCCAGAAGCCGAGGATGGGGCTCAGGATTTCTGCACCTCTTCGGGTTCCACCCTCAGAGCAACAACTCAGAAGTGATGTCGAGTCACAGTCAAGGAACGGAGGCTGGAAGCCTGAGGCCTTGGTCCTCATGCAGCCTCTTGAGGGGGTTCAGCTCCAGTTCTGGGCCAAGTCTTCCCCGTTGGTGGGGATGCGTCTCCACTTCCATCGCGTTCGCCCACCCCTTCCTGACAGATGCTCTCTCACTAATGAAATCCGCGTGTGCAGCTGCCCGCAGGCGCCTCACTGACAGAGCCTGTGGCTTTGCAAAGCACTTGCAGTTTAACCAGGACACGCAGCCCTTTTCAGAAGTGTTAATGAGTGAGCTGTGCTGGGAACATGTTGGCCTGCAAGCCTGTCCTTTTACTCAGTGACCTGAGGTAAAGGGTTTAAAGATTAATCTCTTCACACCCTGAGACAAGCCCTGTGACTAGACAGAAAAAGCCAGTTACCACTTACAGGAAACCTCAGGCAAGCTAGACAGCCCTCCTTGCCACCTGCCTCACCTTTGACTACCGGGCCCGTCAGGTGGTGTCTACTTCCTCAGAGATTCTAGAAATGGATCTAAGTCAACACATCCCTTTGCACTGGTCAGAATACAGTGTCCAGATTTCTTAAATCTAGCTCCTAAAGTCCAAGTGACTGGAAAAATAGCACTGGCCCCCTCTCTTCAGCCTGGTTTCAAAAGGAATAAACCACTAAGAGCGAACACCCTTCTTGTCAAAAGCCTGGGAGGCGGGGGCTGGGGAGTGGGGTGCTGTCCTGACAGACCAGGACAGGGAAAGGTGGGAGCAGTGGACAAGAGGGAGCTATTCCACACTGGAGGTCCGCCCCCTTCCCACCCCCACCCCATCCAGCCCCACAGGCCCTACCCACAGTTCAACCCTCTGGCGCAGCTCAGCCGAGGTCAAGAATGGCGGGCACCCACCCAGCTGAAGTCTGATGCCATCTTTGTCGCATTCCTGCAAGCAGCACACATCCAGAGAAGTCCCTCTGCCAGACATTCAAACACCAAAGAGGTGGGTTTTCTCCCAAATGAACCAATTCTCCACCTCTCTGGACACCGCCTGGATGCCTACAGCTCTATTCCGTTCTGACACTAGAGACGGAGCTAACACAGATTGAGGGTTCAACCCCATAAGACACCCCGACGTCAGATGCCTGGAGCAAATCCTGGGCTTCCCATACCTCTGACTGACCTATAAATTGGAGGTCCCCATGGTGCCCTCCTGAGTTCTGGTAATTTGCTAGAAATGTTCTCACAATGCAGGGAAAGCCCTCACGTAATACCATCTGCTCATTGTATAGGCTATGGGAAGGACACAGATACAGCCAGTGACGCAGCACAGAGGGTGAGGCCCAGAAGGGTCCCAGGCACGGCTCTGTTCCTGCGCAGATGAAGTCCGGGGTGTGTCCACACCCCGGGAGCACCCTGAGCACCATTCACTGTGGAGGGGCTGATGGCGGTCTCACATTGTTTTGCTTCATTGACTCATGCGTGGGTCCTTGTGCTTAACCCCCAGGCCTTCTCTCCCTGGAGGTCCTGGTGACGTTGAACATTCCACCCCTCTTGTTTTTTTTTAAAGATTTATTTATTTATGCTTACAGAACTGGGGTAAAGGCCAGAGGTGCAGGGGAGGTGAGAGGATTCACCAGAGCCAGAGTGGGGAGCAGAACAGGCAGAGTGATGAAGTACATTGCTGAGGGGGGCAGTGGGTGGGTCAGGAGAGGTCTGCTGTGCCATGTGGGTCAGCTCCCTGGCGAGGGATTGAACTTGCCCTGAAGCAGCTGCAGACAGCCTCCAGTGCTGCGCCTCAACCTGTTGCTCCACAAGGGAGGGCCCTCCACCCCTCTCATGCCTTGGCCTTTCTTGTCCCAGGCCCCTTCCTGAAGGAAACCCCTGCCACCTGCCCATTCAGTATACAAAAGGCACTCATCACTGCAGATGCCAAGGGGTTAGGGACTGTGTGCCAGGCACTGGGAACAGAGACCAAATATCTTTACACACACACACACATATACATGTCTAGACGTGTTTATACACGTCTAGACATGTATATATATATATGTCACACACACTTGTGGCCATTTCCAGTTTCATGTAAAGCATTTCCTGGACAAGGGGTAGGGTCAGGAGGGGTTGGCCGGGCCCAGTGTAGGAGGGCTGGAACCATCACTAACTTTTTTCATGGAGGGAGAAGGGATATCGTGTGTTTATTTTAAGTGCCTCAGATTTATGCAAAAGACTTGCCTCAGCTAAACCAGGTGAAGGAGCTAGAAAGAACTCTAACAGGCCATATACACACGAGCAAAGTTTGTCAACAGCTCTTCTGGAACAGTTTATGGACTAAACCCCCCAAGTCTTTTGGGTAAATAGGTACAAGTGGAATTGCTGGGTCAAAGGGTAAGTCTATGTCTAATTTTGGGGGAACTGTCCAAACTACTTCCATTCCACATCCCTACCAGCCATGAATGAGGATTCCAGTTTACCCGCATTCTTGCCACAGCTTATGTGCTAGCTTGTTGTGATTGCTTTGTAACACAACCCTCCATGCAGGTATGCCTGGCAGCTCAGTGTGGTCTTTGATTTGCTTTGCCTGTTGACTCATGGCCTGGACATCTTTCCATATGCTTTTGGCCATCTGCGTCTTAGAGAATATCCACTGTTTAATTGAATATTCCTTTCGTTTGTCTTGCCTCTTTGTTGTCTTGTTGAGTTATAAGGTATATAATTTGCAAGTATTTCCCCCACTTTTTAGATTGTTTTTTCACTTATTTAATGTCCTTCAACATGACAAATCTGATGAAGTCCAGTTTCATTTCAATAAGTCCAATTTGTTATTTCTTTTGTTGTTTATACTTCAGCTATGTCATAGCTAAGAGATCATTGCCAAATCCAAGCTTATGAAATCTTGCTCTTGTATTTTATTCTAAAAGACATAATTTTAGCTCTTGGGCCTCCCTGGTGGTTGCAGGAGTTAAAGCCTCAGCGCTATCAAATTGTCCTCAGCCACTGCGGCCTGAGTTCAATCCCCAGCCAGGGAGCTGACCCACAAGGCACAGCAGACCTCTCCTGTCTCACCTGCTGCTCCCCTCAGCAGTGTACTTCAATCTGCCTGTTCTGCTCCCCACTCTAGTGAATCTCACCCCCACCTCCATTTTTATACATAAAAAAATTAACATAAAAAATTAAAATGAATCTTAAAAAAATAATGATTTTAGCTCTTATATGTAAGTCTTTGACCCTTCTTGAGCTAACTTTTGTATAATGGTCTGAGGTAAGGGCCCAGTGCATTCTTTTTCATGTGTAGATCCAGTTGACCCAGCACCATTCCCACTGAAAGGTCTAAGTACCCTTGTCAAAAGTCAAGACCATAACCACATAGGTTTATTTCTGAATTCTTAATTCTATTCTACCCATTAGTCTGTATCTCCTTATGCCATTTACCAAGCTGCTTTTTGATAACAGTTGTGTGTAATGCATTTTGAAGTTGAGAATAGCCAGTTCAACTTTGTTCTTTTTCAAAAGCTGTTTTAGTTATTGAAATGCCTAGAGATTCCACATGCATTTTAAGACAAGTTCTTCTATTTCTGAAAAAAATAAACAAATCTGGGATTTTTTGGGGAGTCAACTGAATCTGTAGATCATTTTGGATTTTGCTGTCATCTTAACATTAAATCTTCCAGCCCATAAACATGAGATGTCTTTCCATTTATTAATATCTCCTTTTATTTCTTTCAACATTATTTTGTAAAATACATGAACATTAAATTTATCATTTCACTTGGTGATGGGAAGCCCACGGGGCTTACAATTGAGATGAAAAAAAAATGTACAAAGTGATGTAAAAATGAACTATTATATTATAAAAAAAATTATCATTTCAGTCACTGTAAACATTTCAACGACTTCCAGTTAGCTCACAACTCCCTTGCTTCAGCAACTACAAGTGTACTTTCTAGACTTAACTGCTGTGCCTGTCCTAGACATTCACATAAATGGCATCATACAATAAATGGTCCTTCTGTCTGGTTCTTTTATTTAGCAGAATGCTTTCTAGGTTCATCCATGTTGTGGCATTTGCTCCTCTTTATGGCTGAATAATATTCCACCGTGTAGTCATATACCCTTTTGTGTATCTAATCCTCCATTGATGGACATTACTCAGTTCTTATCATTTATTCCTCCAAGGCTCCATCACTGTAACTAATTGAGCTAGGGTTTAGATTAAAGCTTCTGTCTTTCCACATCCAGACTGAATAAGAAAGGAATGGTAAGAACTAAATAAATAACCTTCTACCACCCAGTAGTGGCTGAACTGTCCAGGCATGCACTTACTCAGAGACATTGCTCTGTTCTGGAAGCCCCAAGAGGCTATTCTAACTCACCTTTGTCTGTCAAGTGATGACATTATAATCAATATTCGAAACTAGTTGCCTTTTCCTATGACAGTATTTCTAGGTTCCATTGTCCGTGTCTCCTACTGGTAAGTGGTGGCAGTAGTTTGGTGGCTAAACAGAACTTCTCTGGCTGAGCAAAATTCTGTTACATACCCCAAGTTCATGTCCATGGTTTTCTCTTGGTAGGGGCTTGGGTGGGAGACTTTCTTTTCTGTGCTCTGTGGCCCTCAGACCCCAGAACCTACATCCCGCCCTCAGCAACTCCTCCTGCTCCAGCCACCACAGACACCCCACACACGATCACTGCCCCTCCTCCCTGCTGTCCTCCTACCATCCTGGCGCCTTGCATGGGACTGCTGCCCCTCTCTGTGCCCCTCCCCATTCTGCAAACACCTGTGACTCTGCCTGCCCGGATCCCAACCAGGTTTTCACCTTCACACCCCTTGGGGACATACCCCCAAGTCTTTGTGGATTTTAAGGGTCCTAGTGTTACCACAAGTTCACTACACAAAGGAAGACACCCACATCTTTTTTATTTTTTAAGATACATTTATTTGTGCATACAGAACTGGGGTACAGGCCAGAGGTACAGGGGCAGTGAGAAGATTCACCAGAGACAAAGTGGGGAGCAGACCAGGCCAACTGACGAAATACACTGCTGAGGGGAGCAGTGGGTGGGTCAGGAGAGGTCTGCTGTACCATGTGGGTCACCCCTTGGGTGGGCGGGGATCGAACTCATGCTGAAGTGGCTTTAGCTTCGGAGTGCTGTGCTTTAACCCGCTGCGCCACCAGGGAGGGTCAACATCCCATATCTTTAAAAAATGACTTCTACAATTCGTTTTTCAGAAGCCATCCACAGGGTTCACAATAGGGAGGCCATGTCCTAACCAGTATAACTAACTACAACTTTCATGGTTAGCAGGTGATGATGTGCTACTGTCCAGAGCTGCCCCAGCTGAAACAGCTGTCAGTGCAGTATTTCCTAAGGCTGTGATGAGCTTAAGTCCTATTCCAGGAACAGTTCTCAAAATAGATTACTCTATTATTAACCAGGTAAGACTACTCGGGAGGAGGGATAGAGGGGGTACCTTTCTCTGAAGCTATTTTATCACAAGTAAAATATGTTGGGGTCTGGAATGGAGCTGGGCATTGCAGGAAGGGAGCACACAGGGAAGATGGGAACATCTAATCCCTTGGGGAAGTTTCTGGACACAAGGAGTCCCTGGCCTGCTCTAGAGCAAGTTCCTAGGAGTCTGGGGAGCACCAAGAAACCCTGAGATGGCAAACAATAATCTTATTTTGCGCTGTCAACTGCTATTTTACTCCAGATTCAAACATAGGCGGGCAGGAAGCAAGGGTTTTGGAGGAAGAACGCATCATCCTTTTCTTTTGACAAAGTCTTAATTTCTTCCTCTGTGAACTGGATGGAACTTCTATCACGTGACCTTAGTGAGAGAATGTGCTGGCATAACTTAGGGGCCCCCCCTCCCATGCTACCTTGTCTGATACAGTCTGAGGTGTAAGTCTCTAGTGCAAACCTCCACGGTGGATGATGCTACATGTGTGGACACTTGACGCCCACACTGTCACATCACTTGCCATGTGTGACCCCTCCAGCCTCCACCACCAGAGTATGCGGTGGTGTGTTTGGTCTGGAGAATGGCTACACTGCTGGACAGGAAGAAGAACCAAGCCACGCTGAAATGCAGAAGGCAGCTCACACCAACTTGCTAAGGCTTGAATTCCTCTCTGGGAGCAAGTGGCATGCCAAGAATGTGCAGGGTCTGGACAAACAACAGTTACTACATCCCTAAATTTCCTGTGTCCCCCAAAAAGCTGAAGAAGAGAACTCAAGAAGCTAATGAACATTTCACCATCCACAGCATGTATAATTAGCTTTCATTTATTATTTTTTTTAGTTATAAAACAATTGCCAAAACACAAAGCTTAAAAAAACACACACAAAGTAAGTTTTTAATTCCCTCTTTTGTTGCAGAAAATAAATAATGATCACATATTCCATAAGCTTGCTTATAAAAGCATTTCTAAGGGTGTTTACTGGATTTAACAGTATAATCTGGCTTTTCAATTATAAGTATCATACAGTATTTCATCTTATTACTTTTTTTAAGGACTTGGGCTCCAGCAATTTTGGAAAAATGCTGTAAGCTTAAAAACCTTATTCCAAGTTATTTTTTAAATAGTTAAACTATAAACAACAAGGTCTCACTTACTTATGCAGAGAATATAGTTTTTCTTTTATAAAAATTACCCAGAAAACTCACAAACACCCAAATCGACATTAAAAGTTAATCTGTCTTCATAGGAGTTAACAAGAAGAAAAGAACAAAACACGGTCCTGTGAAATACCTGGAAGAGGGCGCAAGCCCCACAGTTCTCTTCCTTATGTTTCCAGTTTGGCCCTCAGGAGTTTCAGGACAGCAAAGCTGCTCAGTCATCCAAACCTATGTTCCTGAAAAGGTAGGACATGGACTCCCCATTGTGAATCCGGCGGATGGCTTCTGAAAGGATCATGCTGATGTCCACAGTTTTGATTTTGGGGCACTGGAGCTTCTGGATTTCATGTGGAATTGTATTGGTAACAACCACCTGCAATTTAAGAGAAAATGAAACAAGAGAATCATAAACCATAGCCTCTGGTTTGATCTACAAATCTGACACATTCTTGTATCTCTGCGGTTCCCTTGACAGGAAACCAGTTGGTCTACCTTCAACAGTGTTTGTAGTTCATGTGAACGCTACCTGTACTTCGCAGGTTACAACTCGACAATCTTGCATGCACTAGGGTCACAGCTTAAAAATCAATATGGAGAGCCGCCCGTGGGCAGGCTATACCTGGGCTCTACAACTACTTAAAAGTAACAGCTTTGTTGAGTAACACCATTTAAAGTCTAGAATTCATTCGTTTTTGTACTATTCAAAACTTTGCTTAATACTTCCCCAAAGAAGCGCTGCCATCCTTAACCGTCCCTCCTCAGCACACCCTCCCCAGGCGACACCAACCCACTGTCTCTACAGCTGTCTGTGAGCATTTCACATAGTCACTCTGAAGAAAAACAGTGCAAATCTTGATTTACTAGCTCAACTACCATCTATGGCCTCCTACTCAGAAAGATGGGGGCAAAGCCCCTCCTCCCCTCCCCCTTCCACGTCCTAATGTGCTGATTTTGCCATTACTTTTCCATTGTACTTCATCAGCTACTATGCAACTATACTTGGACTGTAAGTTAACGCGAAAAAACGTACTTCCTGACCAGGGTGAACACAGGAGCCCATCTGGCCATTGGTTCTGACCAACTCCCCCAGTGAGTAGCAACGATGGGCACCCTCTTCTGCAGCAAGAACACCCATGGGGTAGCCTCCCTTCCGAGGAGCTCCCTCTACTCAGGTCCACACTCCTGGTTCTCTGCCACCGCGGCTTTCTAAACTGCCCCCACACGGCACCCAAGAAAACCCCACCGAGCACCACATGGACAGACCAGCAAGAACTCAGGTCCCCACTCTCCCTGTTTTACATAATATGTGAATTCTGGGTTGGTTTTTGCCACCTTGGACACCTTTAACATCATTCTTAGTTCTCAGTATTCTCCAGCTAAGTGAGGCTAGACCAATCTGAGCCCCACCTTCCTTGACTGTCCCCCATCTGTGCTAAGGCACCCTGCATCCATTAAAGATGATAAACTCAGCACCATGTTGAGGGAGATCCCATGTAGAAGAGTAAAACTGTGAGGCTGAGGAAAGTAAAAGGGGTGTGACTCACTGAAGATTCAATACCCAGGAACACAGACAGCACACTTCGATTACTCAAAAGAGAAAAACAGCTGGCACATATAATCACACACCCCGTCGCTGGCTGCCTCTGGAGCGGTGGACAGAAAAGCAGAGAGCGCAAACCTGGATGACCTCAGCTCAGTGACACTGGGAGCCGCAGGCGGCTGAGGGAGACCGTCTGTTTGCCCTTCTCTCCCAATTTCATACCACAGGCGTCTGTCTGCACTAGGCAGAGGCTGGGCTTTGGCTCAAGCAGACCTAGGTTTGAACTCAAAAGCTGGGTGGAGCAGCTCTCTGACCTCAGAAGTCTCTCAACTCTCCCGATGCACTATTTCTGAGCTCCAAAAGGGGGGTGACGAGGACCCTGCAGGGCTAGGTGGGACTCAGGCTGGGCAGCGCTGCACGGACGAGGTGCTCGACTTAGCAGTCACTGAAACCAGTAATTAGCACAAGGGCCAAAGACAGAGGCTCACCCGCAGTGAAAGGCGAGCACATCCCTCATTTTCAATCCATTCTCCACTACCAAACAGTTCAACTTCCACCGCTCACTCAGGCCAGGAGGAGCACGCGCGCCAGGCGGCTGCACCAGCATGCAGCCCGGCTGTTACCTCATCGATGGCAGATTCTTCAATCAGTCGGGGAGCGTCTGAGGATAACAAGCCATGAGTCGCCATCACAAAGATCTTATATGCACCTCTTTCCTTCAGGGTCTCTGCTGCAGCAAGAAAGCTGTCAACATCATCGATAATGTCATCCTGTCAAATTGCAGATTGAGTGAAAGAGATGTGAACATTTTTGCAAAAACAGGTTTAGACAACCTGGAAAAGAAAGGATCTGGCTACTATCGCGTGACAAACTAGCGGTTTCTCCCAAACGGCGCCTATCACTGCAGGCTGTCTCTCCACTCCACCTCATTCCCACCATGTACGGCTGAGCCCTCACGGTGCCCATGTTCCAGATATGTCCTCTGAACAGGCTACTTAAAGCATAGGAATACTGGGCCCCTCCCTGGTGGCACAATAGGTTAAAGAGCAGCAACCGCTTCAGTGCGAGTTCTATCCCAGGCCCCAGAGCTGACCCATGTGGCACAATAGACCGTTCCTGACCCACCTGCTGCTCCCCTCAGCAGTGTACTTCACCAATCTGCCTGTTCTGCTCTCCACCCTGTCTCTGGTGAATCTTCTCACCACCCCTGCACCTATGGCCTGCACCCCAGTTCTGTATGCACAAATAAATAAATCTTTAAAAAAAAAAAAGTAGGAATACTAATAGAAGACACTGGGTTTCCCCCACCCTTTTCTTGCCATTTTCCTTTTCATTATTTTCCCAATTTTTTCCACTGGGCACATGGGGAATGTGCTTTTTACATATGTTTTTACAATCAGAAAAATGACTGCAATTTTAACAAAATACCCTGTCTAGCAATCTATGGATGACAGCTTCGCAAGCGATCGCTTATTTAAGTTTTTGGTTATTTAAATTACTGGTATCAAAGGTTCTCTAAAGTTGAATATATAAATGCCCATTTATGTATTTCACACATGTCTATCACTCTTTTCAAAAATATGCTAGTATTACTATGATAAAGGGGAAAGAGACATCTAAAACTTGGACAGGTACTCAAGGTAGAGTGGAGACTGCAAGCGAAGGACTGGTCCTGAGCGGTGCTCACAGGCAGGGCAACCTGTGAGGGAGAGGAGAGCCCGAGGCTGCTTTCTGGCTCCTGAGCTGAATGGGGGCCCGAGGCACTCACTGTATCTGCTTTAAACTACATCACATGAAACCTACTTCTGTGCCCTAGCTTTGGAAGTTATTTTAAACAATAGACGTTGTACCCTTATGTTTATTAGAAAATAATTTCTCATGTTATGACAAAGAGATGCACAATATTTAGTTAACAAAGTAGTTAGCAATTTCTTATAAACTGCTGATAACATATTTCAGTTTTTGGACGAAAGTAAACATTTAACACAAGCGCAACTTCAATGAGACTGAGCTGGCCACAGCACTAGGCCCACACAACTAACGAGTAAGTCAACAGAATAACAATGGCAAACGCCACAGTTAATCATGAAAGTTCACATACCACAATGATGGCGATCCTTCCTCCCACATCACCGACAACTGTGATCGGGGGCTTCTCTTTAGGAATCAGCACTGGTCAGAAAAGAACACACACGAAAAGATTTCTACATTAGAACGTAAACCAAAGACTTTTAAAAGAAGTTACTATCTCATGATAAAAAAGACCCAAGAAGCTAGGATTATTAGAAGGTAACTTCCTCAACCTGAGAAAGCACAACTATTAAAACCACACGGCCGATATCAGATTTAATGAAAGACTAAAAACTTTCTCCCAAGATCAGGGACCAGACAAGGATGCCCACGTCCACCAATGCTATCCAACCTCGTACTGAAGGCACTAGCCAGGGCAGTTAGACAAGAAAAAGAGAGAGAAAAGGCATCCTGATTGGATGAAGAAGAAGTAAAACTTCCTCTATCAGCAGATAACATTATCCTACATAAAAAATGCCAAGAGTCTACACACAAAAAACTACCAAAACTAATATCGTCATCTAACGATGGGACTCAGCTCTGAGAAGTGTGCCGATAGGTGAGTGCTGTACAGCCCACCTCACACTCGTGAGCGTGGTGTAGCCTGTCGAGACCACTAGTAAACACATGACTGTGCATGCATTCACCCAAGCTGCAACACATTAAAATCAGCTGTGTTTTTACACATCAGTGATGAGCACTCTGAAGAAGAAATTAAGAAAACAAGTCCATTTACAAAAGCATCAAAATAAATAATACATCTAGGAATAAATTTAACTAAGGAAATAAAAGACATGTATGCTGAAATCTACAAAACAGCTAAAATAAATTAAAGAAAACATCCCATGTTTGTGGATGAGAAGACTTAATATTGTTAAGATGACAATACTCCCCAAAGCCATCTACAAATTCGATATAATCCCTTTCAGAGAACAGAAATGAAATCACCCTAAAACTCACATAGAAATGCAAAAGGCACTGATTGATCCCCGGCCAGGCAGGTGACCCACATGGTGCCGCAGACCTCTCCTGACCTGCCCGCTGCTCCCCTCAGCAGTGTATTTCAGTCAATCTGCCTGTTCTGCTCCCCACTCTGTCTCTGGTGAATCCTCCACACCTCTGGCCTGTTCCCTGTACCCTAGTTCTTGTATGCATAAATAAACGAATCTTTAAAAAAAAAAAACTGTATTAATCAAAACAGTGTGGCACTGACATAAATATACAGAATGGAGAGTCCAATCCACAAGGCCAGCAGGAGCGCACTTGTTTCCAATAGAACAAGAAAGGTATTTCAATTTTTGCCAACTTAAAAAATAAAATAGAAGAGGTACTTAACTTACCTTTGGGGAAGAAGTTAGGTTTGCTTTAAAATCAAAGAAGAAAGCAACAAAAAAAGGCCAGGGTGCTTACTGGGGATCTCCAGGCTGGGGTGGATGGCAGCCACACTCCTGACCATGGGTGGGGAGTGCCGTCCGTCCACCAGGTCAGACTCTGCATCCTGCGCTTCTCCGTGAATCACCGCGATGCCCAGCCGCAGACGCTCAGCAAAAGACTGCGCCCTAAGGGAGAGTATAAGACACGCGTCAGATGTCAGGCGGCATCTATTTTCTATTAATGTCTATGGGAGAAACATTAAGGGAACATAAATAAAATATAGTTTCTCCAAGGATTAATGAAAAAAGAGAATATCCTTAAGATCTGAGACTGCAGAAGACTCCATGTGGTGGGCACAGCCCTCTGGCAATGGGGGTGGCAACGGCCCTAGTTTGCACTTTGCCAGCTGAGTAGGCATGAGCCCTTTAGCCCATCCAGGACTCCGTTTTTTTACCCATAATTGCTAATTGACCTACCTACCCGCATAATAATGAGTGCCAACTACATGAGACAAATTGTGTTGAATATCTGCCCACCAAAGTATTACTCATCGATTTTTAACAGCTTTAGGATATGATGGAGACACCATAAACTACATATTTAAGTTGAGTGATTTCATACATATGTCTATACCTATATAAACATCAACATAAGCAACATGATGAAAAAACACCTTTCTGCCAGATGTTTCCTGGATCCCTTGTCATTTCTCTCCACCAAGCAAGCACTGATCTGCTTCTGTCTCCACAGTTTACCCTTTATAGAAACTCATAAGTAGAATAAGAGAATACAGTTATTTTTTGTCTGACTTCAGCACAGTGTTTTGGAGATTCAGCCACTTTTACCTTGCGTACCAACCGGTCATCCCTAAACACGAAGTCGCATTCCACTGTACAGCTTTACCTCAGTTTGCCTACTTACTTGCTGAGAGCCTTTTGGGTTGTTTCCAGTTGCTAATTATTGCAAAAGTGCTAGAACATTCATGTACAAATCTCTCTATGAATACTTGCTTTGTTTTCTCTTAGGTAAATGTCTCAGTGCAGAATGGCTGGAGCATACAGTAGGAATACAGATAAGTCACTTTTTAAGAGATCAACCTGTTTTCCAGAGTGTTAACCCACCAAGCAGTGCATGAGAGCTCCAGATTGTCCACGAATATCTGGTGTGGTCAGTCACTCCAGTATGACCCATTCCAGAGGTGTGTACTGGTATTTCACTGTGGTTTTAATTTGGGTTTCCTTTATGACAAATAGTATTAAACATCTTTCCATATTCATACTTGTCATTAGTAAAGAGTCTGTTGATCTTTTGCCAATTTATTTTAATTGGGTTATTAGTTTCTTATCAAGTTTAGAGAATTTTTCATATATTCTGAATGTAAGTCCTTTCTCAGATTTTTGCTTTACACGTATTTTTCCCTCTCTTTGCCTTTTCCTGTTATTCTCTTAATATGTTTTCTGCAGAGCAATTTTCAATTTTGAAACTTTTTTTTTCCATGAATTGTGGTTTTAGTGTCATATTTAAGAAATATTTACCTAAACCTAGATTTGAACCCAACTTGGTGTAATAGTTACTTCTGTGAGGTTAAAAAACAAAATTCTAATGTGTATATGGAAACATTTTTGGCCTCGCCCAATCTATAGTGAATCTAATTTATTCCAAGGAAAAGACAGCAAGACTTCAAAGGAGCAAATTAGATTGCATAATCTGATACAGACACATGTGCGTAAATGTGTGTCTGACTATGTTTAATTAGGGAAAAAAAGAGGGCCATAAAGAGGCAGACTTACTTTAATAAAAACTGCTAAATATCCTAATATCTAAGACATAGTATTTGCATATTTTAAATTCAGCCTTTAAATATATTTTTAAATTCTAAGAGAAAAAGAGTTTAGACAAATACAGTGAAAGAATTTTCACTAGCTTCTGCTTCATCCTAACCTCATAGCGAATAGCATCACAGAGATTAATTTCTCAAGTCAGGCCTTGCAAACAAGATGGCTGTCACAAGAACTGATCTCTTAGATGTCCTCTAAGGAAGCATCCATCTGAAGACACCTGCATAAAATAATGCTATTTTATTAACTATTAACCTATAAAATATAATACTTTCAAGAGAAGTAAAATCATTACCTGCATACCGACGTTACTTTCTGGATACTTTATATAACTGAATAATTTAACTTGAATTCTCACCTGATTCCAAAAAGAATCAGGATGGTTCCTGTCAGTAAAACTGTCTTATACACTAATACTAAGAGGATAAAACCCAAAGCAGCTCAACCTCCCCTGATGGATCTGATGATGAAAGTTAATTTACATCCTTAGTCAAAATAAGATACAGATTACAGATTTTTTTTCTGTTCACTCAGTTATTCTGAAAAAGCAATTCAAGACAACTGATTAAAGCAAGTTGTTTGCTTAATTGTTAGTGTCCTTAGAATTCAGAAATGATTGAAGTCAGTCTGGAGTGGTGCTACTGGTTAGAGTTCTTAAACAGTGAACAATGTTTTAAAGAAAAGGGGACACCTGAGAATATAATGTTATTTTAATAATATTGCTTTAATGTTATTAATCCTTCCCTCCAGTTCTACTTGTTTATTGCAACTAAGATAGGCAGTGAGAGTATGATCCTCACTGATGAGTGAGCTAAGGCTTGGAGAGCCTGTCTCGACCATGGTTCTCACAAAGGTTGGTTAAGTCCCAGCTAGAAACCCATGGACATCTCATTCCTGGTTTACTTGTCTTTCTGCTGCCCCACTTTATCTTTTAAATTAATCACAAGTTTTCTATGGTTAGGTGCCCAATGAAAAACTTGGAGGAGGAAGTTAGATACAACCAGGTCAAAAAAGGCAAATCACTAAACCAAAAGTGCCATCTCAAGCTCTAACCCGGATAAATGTGCAACTCAGGTGATCAGAACAGAAGCAAACCACCACTGCAGAGGTCTAGGAGACAGAGGCAGGCACAAAGTTGACTTCACTGTCGATGCAACTGACCAGAGTTGCTGCCCCATGCCTTCAGTGCAGAGCTCAAACAACAAACCACAGCTACACCACGACCTCAGCCCGACCCAACAGCCTTTGTTAGCAATGATCTCCATTCTCAACTATTTATTGAATGCAGTGTGACCTACATGACTGCAATTATGGAATCTGGGGAAAAGTGGCTTCATTCCAACCGCCCGGACAGCCCACCAGGCAGGCAGCACAGAGGGCAGAGTGGCAAGTGCCAGCAGAGGAGCCATGTCGGTAGTGAGGACCCTCAGCACAGTGAGGCACGTGGCGGGCACAGCACCGGGCACAGAGCTGCACTCACACATGTATCGAGTGAAAACCAAGTGGATGGGCAAGTCAATTTCATTCATATTTGGCTACCACCCAAATCCTATAATCATAGGTGTGGAAAACACTCTAAGAAGTAATTAGTTGGGCCACTACCTTCCAATAAACAGCATACAGTTGAATCATCTTGGATAAGCTTCTTCATCTCCTTGGGTCTATTTCCTCATCTGTGAGCGATAATAAATGCTAACTTCCTAGGCTGAGAAGATCAAAGGAGATAATGTAGATGTCTTAGTCAGTTCCGGCTGCCATAACAGAACTACAGACTGGGAGGCTTAAACAACAGAAACTTATTTCTCAACAGTTCTGGAGGCTGAAGTGAGATGCAGTATCTGGTAAGGACCTGCCTCCTGGTTTGCAGGTGGCCATCCTGTATCCTCACACGGCTGAGAGCAGAGAGCCAGCAAGCGCTTGTACCTTTGCATAAGGGCACTAAATTCCATCACAAGGGCTCTACCTTCATGACCTAATTGCCTCCTGAAGCCCTCACTTCCTAATGCCATCACATTGGGGGTCAGGATCTCAACATACGAATTTGGGAAGAATACAAGTGTCCACTCCACACTGGTAGATAAAACATCTGACACTAACCATAAGCTCCCTGAAGTCTCTTCCCAGGCCTCATCAAACCTAGTACAACAGGTTCTCAGTTCATCACAGCAGCACCAACAAATGTCAAAGAAACAGAGCAAAAGGGTACCACAATGATAAAAGCTTATCACTCACCCATGTATTTTATCAAAGCATGATGCTAGATGTCTAAACTGAAGATTACAGAAGGTACTATAATAAAAGCCAGGTGGGAAAGTAAAAGGAAAATTCATCATATTCTTCTGGTATTTTATTGCGTGGTAAAAAAAAACAGTCAGAATACATTGCTCTCACTTCTACTTCTGATACAAATACAACTAATAAAACCCTCACTAATCTGTATGAAACTATATAAAACTTGTTTTCTCTGAAACAAGAAGACTAGAGATGGAGAGAAGGCAGACTAGCTGGGGACTCTGGGACTAGAACAAGACTGCAGACACTTCTCTGGGTTTTCTTTGGCCTCATGATCCCAGACTTGCAGCCAGAGATTCTCGCCACCCCCAAGTGGAAAAGGCCCAGATTTCAAAAAGCCACAGACACAGTCTTTACATCTTAAGACATTAACTACCCTCACAAACACTACAGAAAACTCCCTCACACATGAGATAAGGGTGAAGCACAAGTCCCTGCGTCCTTGCCACTACCAGGGAAGGCCCTGAGTCCCCCAGGATGGTTTAGAAGAAAGACAAAGAGAGTTGGGCCTGCCATATCATGCCCCGGTGATGGACCCCAACTTACCCAGCAGCAGCGAGCGTGAGAGCTGGACTTCCACAACTCAGCAATGAAGAGGCGTTATTTCCCACCCTCACTGAGGCCTGAAACTCAAAACGTTGACTAGCACCCAAAAGTAACAAGGTCACTCCCTCCTCGTGTCAGTGGAGACTAGTGTGAGTTAGTATCCTCATTTCACTCAGGAATGTTTTGATCTAATAGTTACCACAGAGCTACAGTAGTCAAAATAGATGGCTCTAGCACATGCATAATGGAAGAGAGCTGAAAATCTGAAATACGTCTAAACATCCATGGCCAACTGATTTTTGACAAGGGTGCAAAAGCCACTCAATGATAAAGAACAGCATCTCCAATGACCTGTGCTGGAGAACTGGGTAACCACAAGGAAAAGAAAGAAGCGGGACCCCTCACCTTGCGCTGTATAAAAAAATTATCTCAAGGCCCTCCCTGGTGACGCAGCGGGTTAAAGCTCTGCACTAAGAAGCTTAAGCCACTTCTGCATGAGTTCGATCCCCGCCTGCCCCGGAGGTGACCACATGGAGTGGCAGACCTCTCCTGACCCGCCCGCTGCTCCCCTCAGCAGTATAATTCGTTGATCTGCCTGTTCTGCTCCCCACTCTGTCCCTGGTGAATCCTTTCACCCTCTGCATCTCTGGCCTGTACCCCAGTTCTGTATGAATAATTAAATATTAAAAAAAATTATCTCAAAATACATCAATAACCTAAATATAAGAGCTAAAACTATTAAGAAAAAAACACAGGTAAAACTATTGGCCTTGGATTTAGCCATAAATTCATACATGACACCAAGCACACAAGCACCCAAGCACTAGTAACAACAAAGATAAACTGGTGAGAATATGGAAAAATTGGACCCCTTAAAATGCTATAACATCTCTGGAAAACAGTTCGGTGGATCCTCAAAATGTAAACACAGCGTTACTGTGTGACTGCGCAATTTCAACCCCAGGTGTACACATGCAGGAAATGAGACTCACTTAGGAATGAGACTCACTTAGAGAGGGGCAGTGGCTGCACAATACTGTGAGTGCATTAAATGCCACTGAACTGTATATTTAAAATAGGTAGGTGTATGATATGTGATTTTTCACCTTAATTTTTAAAAGCAGGTATATCAGAGGAAAAAAATTATGAAATTAATTCAGACTTTGTATCAATGTGAGAAGCAGCCTTTGGAAAATGTTTGAATTCCAAAATGAACCACAGTTCGCTTATCAGGTGGGCTATGTGGGACTCCCATGACCGTTCCTTGAGGAAGGTGTGGCCGGGCACTATGCTGGCTGTGCTTGGAGGTGGTTCCACGGCATAGCAATTCTGTGTGTTACCACAAATGCCAAGTTAAATTACTCAACATACTAAATGTCATTCTTACAAGGAAAGACGACTTATCTGTAAGACCCCACAGTCAGTGACCTACTGCATGTCACCTCTCCTTCAGTCTTCAGTATAAACAGGCTGTGGGCCCTCACTGGAGGTGTCTTATACACCACAGGATTCAACAATGACCAGCAAGCAAAGGTATTCAGTTGTGGGAAATCATTTTAAGAGTTCTTTATGAGATTAAAAACTCATGCCAGGCCCTCCCTGGTGGCGCAGCTGGTTAAAGCACTGCACTGAGAAACTAAAGCCACTTCCTCATGAGTTCGATTCCCGCCTGCCCCGGAGGTGACCACATGGCGTGGCAGACCTC